TCATATAATATATAAATAAAATAATATATATATATATATATATATATATATATATATATATATTCTCTATATCTAAATACTTCCGTTTATAGAAAAAAAATTATATATCTAAATATTTTCTCAATATCGAATATACTGATTTTTTTTATATAAAAAAAAATATATTTTATGTTTCTATATTTCTGTTTTTACATGTTTTTTATAATGGCTGAGGTATTTGATTCATTTGGATAACCAAGATATATTCGATCTTGTATGATTGATGTGCTTTTAAAAATAATAATATAATTTTATTGATTTTCTCTCTTATCCATAATTATTTATATAACAAGTTTTCAACATATGTTGTTTTAGTAATTCAAATGGGAGATTCACAAGGAAATAATAAAAGAAAAGGAAAAAAAGAAAGAAAACTATGAAGCTTAGATCAATGAGGATTATGATGAATTGTTACAATTGATAGTAGACGCTATAAAAAGTGGACTGTGAGAAGACGCTAATGCTTGGAGAACTAGTATATCTATGGATATGTGGGTGAATGCTATTTAAGAGGATAAGATATTATGGAAAATTATTATTATTATTATTTATCTAGACATTGTTATTTTTTTTTTATTTATAATTTTTGTCTTTGAGTCTTTAAATTTGAAAGTATGAAATATTTTTTGAAATCTTATCAAATGTCAAAAATCAACGAAGATTCTACAAAATTCCACAGAATCCATTAAAATCCTAATTTAAAAGTCTTGCAGAATCCATTAAAATCCTGATTTTAAGTTTTGTAGAATCCTACAAAATCTTAAAAGTCATGAAAATCCTGCAAATCTTTTAAAATTCGTAGGATTTTTTTTAACTAAAAAAGTTCTTTAAAATCTTAATCCAATACACCCCCTAAGTTTTAGCTTATAACATAATTAAGTTTAACTAATAACAACAAAATTTAAATTCATTACAACAACAAGTTTCTAGTCCACAGCATAATCGAAACAAACTTTGAGTGCAACAAAATTACATGGTTTTAGCTCATAAAATAGCTAATAACTTTTTGATAAGCTAAAAAATATATAGCTTAAATAAATTTTGTCCTTATACTTTTTCTTAATATATATTTTTAACTTTATATGGATATTTTTTAAAATAATTTTTATAAAATTCTCTCTCTCTATTTTTTTTTATTTCCATCATTGTTATTATGTTATATTTCTTATAGTATATTATTTTTCGTTTATATCCTTATAATAAGTAATATGAATAATTTATTTATAGTTCCTACCATTTTTTTTAATAAAAGGACTAATTCAAAATGAACAAGGTATTACAAAGACTAATTAATGAAAATAGATACATTATAAGGATTAAAATAAAATAATAAGGAGACCACTAGGGTTAGCCTAGTAGTTGAGTTGGGAGGGATTGGGATAATTAGAAGCATGAAGACCTAGGTTCAATCTTTATTACAACTATCTTTGTAATCTTTCCTATCTTTACAAAAAAAAAAAAAATCATTAAAAGAGCACTTTAATTTCTTCTTACAATAATCAAAATTAAATTTGATATATTATAGAGAAAATTATATTTAAACCAAATTTTATTGATGTAAAGAAATAATCTTAAAAGTAACATTATTCTTTAACAACACATAAAACACCATATGTGATATATCAATTGAAGTAAAAACATATCACAACAGATAGAACACCATATATGATATATCAATCGAAGTAAAAAAAAAAAATCACAATAAATAACTTTATTTTATAAATATGTGGTTAGAAGTTTCATTCCGATTAATATCTATATAGAGATTAGAGAGATCGTTCTCTAACTTTAGATTATGTTAATTTACTAATAATAAAAAAAAACTCACACACATCATTCACAATCAATTCACAGTAACAAAATGCGCAGCTATAGGGAGGCGTGGAAAGTAAAAAGTACAAACTGAATTTGGGCCTTTATTCGACGTCGCGTGGAAGAATTTACAACAGGCCCATTTTTTATTTTAAAAATTTGATCTTATTCGTGCTTTATTTTAAGTAATTTTTCCTCATAAAAGTACGATAATATAATATGTGTTCTGTAAAAGGTCAAATGTGACATGGTGAAACTTTTATGATTTTATTAGCCAATAGGTTTTGATTCAAATAAAATCCATTAACAGGTTTTTTACTTTTATTTTTATTTTTATTTTATTTTATTGCTAATGCTGACTTTCAATTCCACATCAAGTATTCTAACCATTTGAAGTACATAGTCAATTAAAATACGCGTAGCTTTTTACATTGATAATAATTTTTTTAATGACGTGTATTAAGAAAGTAAAATTTGATTATTAAAACATGAGATTTTTTTTACACATTCAATAAATTTCAAGAGTTTTTTTTTTCCAATCCATTTTAAAACTCTTGGGGGCATATAAATCAGAATTTAGTTTCTTTTTTTAATTCATTAGTCAACTTTGTGTCTGATCGCACCAAAAAAAAAATATAAAATAGTTGGGTATCTTAGCTTGAATTAATATTGTCCGTTGATATTCTTGTTAGTCACCTACCACTCAAATACACGTATTCAATTATCTTTTATTTAATTGCTGCAAATCACCAAGAAATTTTCAAACATTTTTAAAATTGCATACAATTTCTAATTAGAACGCAACTTTCAGGGGCAGTAGACAATAAATTGAGACAAGGTTTGGTCGTGACTTTCTGCCTACCTAGCTTGAGAATCTATGCAATTGGTGTATTAATCATATACATGGCCTGCACTAGACAATGTTTTAAGAAAATCGTATGCACCGTTGACTAGAAACAACAAAGAAAAATAAATCCATATACATGCATGTATATATATTTGTATCCAAAAACATATATATACATGCATGTATGTTGATTGTATATGGATTGAAATGCTCCTTTACATTATTTGATAAGAATTTGCTTATCAAAATAAATAAATGAAAACCATGCATTAATTTCGTAAGAATTTCCATTACCCAAACTACAATAATTTCATAATAATCAATAATGTAGATGGAAAACTCTAGTTATAAAATTGGCTTTCTATTTTTTTAGTTGATTATGAATCTGAAACCACAAGATATGGAAGTGTTTGACCATTCACAATTTGCGTTGGTCAATTCTGACTTGCTAATATCATCGCAATGGGTTGAGTGAGAAAAAATATTTGGGTTTTTTTTTTTGGTAATTACTTAATATTTGGGTTGCTTGAGACAACGTGAAAACTAAAAAGTTAAAGCAATGAAATCGTTGATGTGGTGATCACGTGGTTGAATTTTAAAATACATGTTTTTATTGGAAAATATTATCACAAGATTCACAAGCTTTCAAACAAGATCAATTCTACGTAGGGTGTATTTAATTGGTATTTTAAAAATGACTATTGTGATAAAAAAAATAAATTGTGTAATATTCAATTGGGATTCGAAAAGATTATATACCTTCTTACTTTTGTATTTTAAAAACTATTTTTTCAAAAAAAAAAAAAATCACACTGCTCAATAATTGATTTCTCATCCGTAGTCTATTAATTTTTAAAAATCATTTATATAACAAGTACTATAAAAAACACACAAACAACTGACCAGGAAATAATTTCTCCTTTCTTCAAATCTGTTCTTTTCAAGTGCTCATGGAATACTTTATATATATATATATATATATATATATGAGTTAATCATCCATACACTGTTAGTGTAAAAAAATTTATACTGACAAC